AAAGTTCTTGATGATGTAGGGATCACGGGCAAAGTGATCAGGTAGATCAAGAAGTCCCCAAGGTTGAGGGTGGGTAGGCGGACCTGGTCAGGATGCCAGTGAGGTTGTCCCAGGCGAGATCTTTGCCAGCCACCATAGAGCAAGTCAGGAGCGGCAAAGAAGTAGACGTGGATTGCGAGCAAAGGACGCTCACCCAGGGACACTTCCGTGGCGGTGTGGGCCTCTTGGAACTCAGTGCACTCGTGGTGCTATGGATTTCTTGCGGGGACCAGCTTGAACCGCTTGCGGCTTGAGCCATGTATGTATGTATGTATGTATGTATGTATGTTGTGTATGTTGTGTATGTTATGTATGTTATGTATGTTATGTATGTATGCATGTATGTATGTATGTATGCATGTATGCATGTACGCATGTATGCATGTATGTATGTATGTACATACGTATGTATGTATGATTATGTATGTATGTTTGTATGTATGTAATGTATGTGATGTATGTAATGTATGTACTGTATTAATGTATGTAATGTATGTTATGTTTGTTATGTACGTTATGAAGTTATGTAAGTTATGTATGTAATGTATGTTATGTATGTAATGTAACGTAATGTAATGTAGTGTTATGTTATGTTATGTCATGTTATGTTATGTATGTATGTAATGCAATGCAATGTAATGTAATGTAATGTAATGTAATGGTATGTATGTATGCATGTATGTATGTATGTATGTATGTATGTATTTTTTGCACGCCTTTTTGAGTCTGCTTGAGTCTCATGCGAACATCTGTCGCAAATCCCTCTGCTTCATGTAGACGCACCGAGCGCGTAGGCGACCGGAGAGTTGTGGTCTCCCATCTGCCATCCTCGTTCGGGCGTGGCATCTCGAGCACTCGATGCTCTGGCCTGTTCGCAGCATGGTGTGCGAGGCGTGCCCTTCCCATAGGCTCGGCTCCAGTGGCCCATGATAGCACGGTTCTCCAACAAAGCGGTTGAAGGCTTCCTCGTTGGTTCGAGCTAAAATGTAGCTTCTGCAAACGGAGCACATGAGGTATGCTCGATCCAACTGAAGGTGGTGAACACATGGTTGTGGCCCTTGCTGCGATGCCACCAAGGCATGGATCATCTCCATTCGTGTCTGCTTTGGAGGACTCGGAGTGTCCTCTTGGTGGCACTGCTTGTCTGCTGCTTCCTTCAAATCACTAAGCAAGCTCTTGCTGTGATACCTCAAACGACACTGCTTGCACTGGATCCCACTCATTTGTGGCCCGCGGCGGATGGCTTGGTCAACAAGTCAGGCAGAATTTCTGCTTTCTGCTGGATGAGAGGGATCTTCTGCTGGATGGAGTCCTCTTTACGATGAAGAAAGTGCTCTTTGTCCTTGAGCAAAATGTTCATCCGCTCACCTGCAATGAGCAAAATGGAGTGAGCATCTTCGTCGATATGTGACTGGAGGTCCAAGATCTCAGTCGGTTCAAACAGCTTTCCGGCGCTCTCAGCCAGCTTCTGCGTGTCCTTCTGCGTGACTCGTCTCATTTCATTTTGCTCCAGCTCTTTGCGGGAGAAAAGCAGGGACCATACATGATCGAAATCTTGGAACTCCAAGCCAGTGAACAAATCTGGGAAAGTTTCAAAGGCAACAAGAGCGCAACTGGAGTTTTCTCAAGAACACGCAAGGCCAAATGCTTCATGGCATAGAAGATTGCCCCCAACTTGGTGGCCGGACCTGGACAATTGCCGGTGATGGAGCCAACCCGCTGTTTGTTGGAGGTCAAATGCACATAGATTGCAAAGGCAAATCGCTTGTGTCTCTTGTCTCCACAGGTAGGAGCAATGGCAATCGAGCAGATGTGGCCTTTTTGTAGCCGGAGCTGACCCAAGTCTTTCCACAGGCCTGTGCCTTCCAACGTGGAGAGGCCCTCTTCAGGTTCATAGAAAATGCGCTGAACCAGTCCTCACTGCCAAAGCTCGGGGTCGGTGCCCACTTCAAGTCGACTGGCCCTTCCAGAACGAGCATTGCCCAAGAAGATGAGTGAAAGTCAGCTCAACTCCGCACAAGGGGCAAGTGTCCAGTGAGGCCATGTAGCGTGCCCTGGTGAAAAGCCCTGAGGCCGGTGGCAATGGATTCACTGGTGGATGTCTGGATTTGTAGGCTGATCATCCAATCTAGTGGCCTTTCCAGATGGTGGGAGCCCTCATAGCTGGTCAAACGGAGAAGTCGTTGCCACCAAAATTCGTGTGTGAGCTTGTGGTGCATCAAAGGCCATGGATCTGTCAGACGCAGGACACAATCCGGTATGCCTCCATAACCTGTCCTTTTCCACTTCTGGCCGTTGGAGATGTCAAAGTCCAGGTCCATCAAATAAGCTTGAAGGGCTTGCAAGGGTCCAGTGGCAACCTGCCAACGGTACTTGGCCTTGTGAAGAGCACCTAAAGCCGTGTTCCAGCTGGTCCAGAAAAGATGCTGCTTTGTCTTTGTGAAATGATGGTAGACTTTCCAGATTGTGTGGAGGTGCTGGAGGATGATAGAGTCCCCTGGATCCGGCTGGTTGGGGCGCATGTCGAAGACAATGTTGTTCTGCAGGATTTGCTTCCTATGGGAAAGGTCCCTCAAAGCTGAGACTTGGGACTCCAACTTCAAGGCCATGTCCTTTTCCGTCTCTGGCGGAGGTTTGGTGATGCGCTCCACCAACTCCTTCACCGCTGTGGGCAGCTGAGCCATGTTCTCTTTCAGGACGTCGGTCAACTCTGGCTCCTGTTTGGGTGGAGAAGGCTTGATGCCTCGCTGCTCCAGCTGCTGTTGTAACTTGGGGTCTAAGGAACTCCAAGAAATGGTGATTAGCTACTTATTCAGGATCTCGAGGGTGTTCGATTGCTGTAGCCTTGAGAGGGTGCCTGCCACGCCAATCCGCATTTCCTGCAGACATAACCCACGCAAAGCTTATCCTCCCAGATCCAGTTCGAACACCCTTGGCCTCGACAGGCCTGGTAGGCTCTCGCCCTCGTGGAAGTTCTCCATGTAGACCTCTCCATGGAGCTTGATGTCAAAGCACCAGCAGAGGATTCCCTCCTTCTCAGCCAGGGCGTGCTTGGTGAGGTCGTGCAGGGCCCAACGAAGGGTTTGAGCCGCCTGAACCCTTGAGCCGTGTGTGTGTATGTAATGTAATGTCATGTCATGTAATGTAATGTAATGTGATGTGATGTGATGTAATGTAATGTGATGTAATGTAATGTAATGTAATGTAATGTAAGGTATGTATGTATGTATGTATGTATGTATGTATGTAATGTATGTATGTAATGTATGTAATGTATGTATTGTAATGTAATGTATGTATGTAATGTATGTAATGTTTGTAATGTATGTAATGTATGTAATGTATGTATGTAATGTATGTAAAGTATGTAAAGTAAGTAAGTAAGTAAGTAAGTATGTATGTATGCATGGATGTATGTATGTATGTATGTATGTGGGTATGTTGGTCTGGTCTGGTATGGTCTGTAATGTAATGTAGTGTAATGTAATGTAAAGTAATGTAATGTTATGTATGTATGTATGTATGTATGTATGCATGAGTATTTGTGTATGTATCCCTCACAACAGTTTTCCACCATGCTGCTCCCAAGAGCTAAAGTGCGCCGATGTCGCTGTCAAAAGACCTCCTCACATCCTTCAGAAAAGACATACCCTACCCATGCTAAAAACGTCCAAAGTGCGCCAATGGCGATGGCTTTGGCCGGCGCGTTTTTCCCGCCTGCTATTCTGCTTCCAAAAACCTCGACCACGTGCCCCCTCGAGCACATAGCCTCCCCTTTTGACCTCCTATATCATTTCTTGTGATGCCTATACCCCCAGATAGATGTCCTCTCAGCTGCGCCCAGATGTCCAAAAAACAATTCCGGGGCTGCTACGTTTTTCTTCCATGTTACTCTGTTCTGTTTCTTCTTGTTTTCCTTTCGCAAGCCCGTCCCTGTTCTTTCTTTTTCCCTTCCATTCTCTCCCCGGCCCCCTTTCCTGATCGGCCTGGACGAGTTCCTACTTATTATTGCTTCTGGTGGAGAGGGCCTTGCCCGGGCAGATTGCTGGGCTCGCCTGGTAGCTTGTCGCGCTCCGGTGTTTTTCTGCATTTTTTGAGAAGGCCCTATTTTCCGCATGTTCTTCGGTTTTAATATATATATATATATCTATTTGTTTCGTTTGTTTTTTTCGTGTTTGTGTTTGTTGATGCGCTTTTGCAGTTGTTTGCCTTTTGGTGCCTTCCGGGGGTGACCCGGGCCTAGAGTGGAGACCTCTCACTCCGGCAAATTTGGTAGCCTGCCGGGGGCTTCAAGGCCAGGATTCTGGCCGCGGCCGCTTGTTTGGGCCTTGGCCGAGCCAGGGGCCAACAGCAGGAGGCAGGCCGTGCTGGGCGTAGAGGCCTAGAGGGGCAAGAGCAGCTCTTACAAGCTACTTGTAGCAGCGGCGAGCTAGCGGCTAGCTGCGGTCTTCACTTGGTTTGGTAATAAAATGTAATAAGCGCCAAGTAGCATTGTAAAAAAACACATTTTAAATATTACATTATAGTCACTATGACTATACTATATTGTCCAATCTTTGTTGGGTTCTACTATGCCTGGGCAGCACACAAAGGAACCCCAACAGTCTGCAGTCAGCAAATGTCCTGCCTTGAGTTAAGTCAAGTCAAGTCATTCAAGTCCATAGTGATAGTGCCTTTTCCGACTAAATAGTAGTTTTATTTTGCTGTGCTGTGCTAAGTCGTTGTTTTGGTCCTGTTAAGTTTTGCGCTTACTTATTGCTTTAGCTACAGTTACTTAAGTTCCCGCTATGCTGCAGTATGCCATGCTGCAGTGTTAGTTACAATTACAATTATAGTCAAATCTATAACCGAGCACTTGATCATTGAGGAACCAGCAGTTAGCATAACTCTAATGGTTTTGCCAAATAAAACACAAAAAACAACATGCAACTACAAAAGGCAAACACAAAAACACATCAAACAAAAAATACAGTTGACCCAAAAACAAACAACAACTATATAATGAAAAACCCTAAAGAACAATTGAAAAAGAACGACCTGATTTGTTTGTTCACCTGGGTTCACTAGTTTCTCGTGCACTGCGCAAAATTGGATTTTAACTTATATAGGCTAAGTGACACCAATGATACATAAATTTGATTGTTGCTGACATACAGAGGCCGGAGATTGCGAAAGTGTATTTGGCAACGTGGTATTCGCACCACGATGACCTGACAAGGTGGGTTGGTTCTTCGTCCATAATGATTGAGAAACAAGAGCACATGTGCTGACCAGGGCTGATAGGAGCAATGGCTTCAAGAATCAGACAGACCTGCAGTGCCAAGAGGCCTTTTATGTTTTTCACGTTAGGCGTTTCTGTTTATACACACGTGTTCCATTGATTGCTTGTGAACGATCCTTGAATAGGTATTGCAACAACAAGCTGAACGCAGTTTCCCTGGTGATAGTGATTTCACTGCAACGCAGCGATTGAGGGATGTGAACAGTGATGATTCCACACGGTACGAGAAGCAGACTGCAGATCATCATAGCCCCCTAATGACACCCCAAAGGTGCTTTCTATGCATTGTCTCATGTTCATCCATCGTGGGATTGGTGCCATTTACAGTATAGAATGCAATGCACGAACCTGTCCTTGCAATCTTTGTATTCTCAGATTCATGTAGACTTGGCTTTAACAGTTTGAACTTTGTTGGCCATATTTACCCAGGCTTCACCAACTTCCTGACGACTGGGCAAAGATGCTTCGTCTCCATCTTAGTGATTAGAAAGTGCACCGTCATGACCAATGGCTTTTTGTGCAGATTGTTGTGGAAGCTGACCAGTGGGGAGCTCAGCAAAGGCGCGGGAATACCATGGCACACATCAAGCCCTGCCAGGGATTCCGCTGGTTGTTGTCTTTGTGCCTTCATCAGCTATGGGCATCTTGGTCAGCAAGTCTGTCTGTAGAAAAAGATTAACATGTGAAGTCCTTTCATATCTGAGGCAAAGCTACACGCGAGAAGGATTCGGAGAGGCAATATCGGCTGCCATATTGAAGGCTGCAATATGGTTGATTTCTTCGCTTAGAAGCGTTTGCGTTTGAGGTCATGCAGCTCTTCGTCCATCCTGAATTCCAACGAAAAGGCTTGGGTTCAAGCTTGCTGAGGGCAGCGTGACATCCTCAGTGGAAGGCCAATGTGGAAGATGGACATAATAGTTGTTTGTTTAATAGCATGTGAGCAATAGCCAAAACCTCCCTTGACATTCATGAAGCATCTATGTCATATCAATCTGTGGCGTAAGAAAAACGTTGTGTTGCATAAGGTTGCGTAAACTCCATGTTGAACACATGTGTTGCGTAAGGTTTGCGTAAGTACTGTTCTTTACAAGAACAAGAAGAACAAAATGTATTGCTTCGTAAGCACATCCTTTGGGGGAACCTTTCGGAATCATACTTGTGTCATGGCGTAAGAACTTGATACGACATAGAGGTTTAATCATACGTATTGGCCGAAGCTCATGTAATTCCTTGCCCGGAGGTGGGGTCTAGCAGTTGTCATGAGAAATACCCAACACATGTGCCTTCTGATTGCACCATATGACCTATCCCTCCAATACCTGGAGCATCTATATGTTGTGTTCCACAAGAGGTTTTGGTAGCAGGCAGGTTATTGCACTGGCAGCTGATGCTGGCTGATGCTTTCCCTTTAATTTGATGAGCTTTTGAAGCAGAGTTTCCTGCAGGCACAGCGTCACTGAAGTCACACTGACTACCGCACAACACCAAGCATACATGTTTTTGCTTGCCCTAAACTCTTTTCTAGTCTTGTAATCATCCCACCTGACAAGCGGAAACTGCGTACATTGTTGCAACGAGTTGGCAAAGCGGAAGCAACACAATGAGACAGTGGGCTACCCTGGGCTGCGAATTGTTGGGCCCTCCTTCCTTATTTTGTCCATCTCCATGGTCAACTCTTGATGTGATAGCTCAGTCTCAGACATGCCCTTTCTTGTTGGTCATACCAGGAATCCTAGTAGCTTCTTGTTCCTAGTAGTACGGCCAAGAGCCCCTAGTAGCGTCCTTGCTCCTAGTAGCGATGCCCTTTGCTCCTAGTAGCCTTTTGTTCCTATTAGCATCATTATATTCTTAGCTCAAGATGTGAAAAAGACAAAATCACAGACTCGGACCAAGACGCACACATGCACTTGTCACCTCTTGAGCTACTCATACCTACGATCAGCCGTCATTGGATCGGCTGTTGGTTGTATTTGATCCGATAGCTGAACCTCATGACCTAAACAACCTTAAGATGTCAACAGTTGAACTTGACAAAATGCAGGTACTTCTGCAAACGACTGGGGGGCGTTCTCGTTGCCCCCTTTAATCTCGGAAACATAGACTCCCAATTAGTTAAAGAAAAAACACTCACACACTCACCAACAACATCCCCTTCGCCAAGCTGCCAGTGTGGGCCAATTTTATCACAAGGTGGAGACACATGCAGAGCAAAGAATGGTCCAGTTTGGGGTGCCATGTATGGCCGGCACCTCAAGCATGGAGGTTTCTGGACTCTGCTGACAGTGTGGCAGTGAGGTGCACGAAAGGGAACCCGGCTAACAAGGTCTATGAACAGGCAGGTGATCACTTTTTTTGTCGGATCGTTTGCAAGTTGTTGTGCAGGTTGGTTGGTTTCCAACTGGGAACCAGAAGAGTCATGCGCTTACACATTGAAATTAAAGCACGGACAGGAAGGTTATTGGATGTGTTGATGCACTGACTGATAATGTTGGATCTTAATTTGCATAAACACCCCCCCTAGCATCCCTAGCAAACAATCCAGGGGGTCTGAAAAGTAGCACCCCCACAAAACACATTTTTAGTAGTAGTAATAGTAGCAGTAGTGGTAGCAGTAGTAGTAGTAGTTGTTGTAGTTGTTGCAGTAGTAGTAGTAGTAGTAGTAGTAGTCGTCGTCGTCGTCGTAGTAGTAGTAGTAGTTGCGTAGTAGTCGTAGTAGTAGTCGTAGTAGTAGTCGTGGTAGTGGTAGTGGTGGTGGTAGCAGTAGCAGTAGCAGTAGTAGCAGCAGCAGTAGTAGTAGGGCGGAAGTAGACAAATAAAAAATATGCAAAAAGCACCTTCGGTGAAAACATATTATTAAACTATATATCATTAAACTAATCAGGGTGTGTGAATATTTTGGCGAACACTTTGTACTAGTCCGTCCCATTATACTAATTTGGATGCAACATTACTGTTTATAGATTGCATCTTGATGGTTCCATTCAGCAAAGGTCTTTATCCAACATTGAGCAAAGAACCTGTCGTCAGGGGCTAAGATGAGTGCATGTCAGGCATTTCACATGGTAGTCTCGCAGGCCGCTCCGCTTACGCTTGTTGTTGCATTATGTTTCCAGGAAGTTGAGGAGTACATGGCTCTAGACTTGTCCAAGCGGAAGGACAACTTATTCTGGCAACTTGGTTGCTATGAGTGTGCTTCTGTCCCTGGCCTTTTTCAGCCATGCTTCAAGGATTTGGCGGTTGCTTATGGCTCTCGCCTTAATCGTTTGGCGGGAGCTGCACCTGTGACACTATTCATCCCCTCCTTCGGCCGTTTCATGTTTGGTCCAAAGGTCAGACTTTCGCACTGTGGGCAGCCAAGAGCGCGAGTATCATGTCATTTCTAAACGCTGCTAATGTTACTGTACTCATTTGCCGGACTTTCTTCTTGAATTCATAGAAACTGCTACGGACTATCGTATTCCGCTGTCAGTGCTGCTTATATCATACTCAGAGGTGGAAGCTGCTGTGGGCAATGAGGACTAACGCGGATGCTCTCTTGTTCGCCCAGACTTATGAAGTCTAATTTACCTTTGAGGAGTTGATGGAGGATCTCAAGCTGAAGTCAAGCTGAACCATTCACGTGGCCTTAGACAGATGTAACAATTACTTGACAATACGTACAGGGAGGTGTATAGCTTGTGTGGCGTGGAAATGCAGAGCTTCGATCATCGAAGGTGAATCAGCTGCGGCAAGCCCTCTCAAAAAGGGTGCAGCCACTCCGCGATCAGTATCGGTGAGCACTACAAGCGATGGCCTCCAACCTAATAGCAATGGCCTCCAACCTACAGTTTGCAACCAAGCATTTTACTATCAAATTGCAGCGCTTGACTGCTAGCCTTTTCTGGCACAGGTATGCAGATCAATGATAGCAGACACCAGTCCTGGATCAGCAACTAAGGAACACTAAAAGGAATTGCATAGCGGTTCTTGAGAAATCAATACGACTGGAAGGCGTAACTAGTGATATTACATATAATTAAGCATTGCCCTTCCTTTAGGTTCTCTTTGGACCCCACTAACGCTCACAGCTCTATGGAAGTAAGAAGCTGTTGATTTCCCTTGCACGCAATTGCAATCAATGGCATGATCACCCTTTGTGAGCGATCGAGGCGGCAGACTCATAGCAATGCACAGCAGCTAAATTTGTGTAGCAGTGCATCAAAGCAATGCCTCTTCCAAGGAGATGTCCAATGTCGTGGGGAGTCGCATTGGTGCCGACATCTTCTCTCCCCTCCAAAGGGGCACTGCAATCGTGCGGCCCCATGGGGAGCCTATTGCTCAAAGGGTCCTTCGTCATCAACGCCAATCGCAAGGGCCAGAGTTATTGAGTTTCTTGACGCCAATTGAGGAATCCTCAAGCCGTCGCCACCAATTAGTTTGATGAACATGAATTGGGACTGCAAGAGTTTGCTTACCTTTGTGTGGCATGCCAATGTTGTGCCGGTTGTCTATTGGCTAGTTCAACAATGTGATCTATTTCCAACCTACTGCACTTGACAGAAGACGTTTACTGGCCCTGGCTGAGAAGGACATTATTTCAATTTATGTCATCAGATTAAACTTCAGCACGCTCCATGTAGGGCCTAGCTGAGACACCTTACTGTAGGGTCTTTCACACTTACCTTCATTGTGGCCGGCCGGTTGTATCTTGACCATCTCAATAATTGGCCGGCTAATGCAATAGCTGCGTTGCATGTCTTTTCAAAACCAAAGTTTGCTAGCCAATCCTCTTTTTGTTGACAAATTTGCTGAGAATGCTCAAAATGCAGGGTGCCATATTACTGTCGACAGGGGGGCTTGACCTAGCAGACTTAGACGTGTCAAACAGGTAACCATTTTGCGGACGGTATATATAATTGAATCGGTATGTGTAGCTTACACTTCACACACCACCAATCATTACCAACCCATGAGGATCAAGAACTGCCAAATCCATTCTAACGCAGATCGCAGAACTGCCGCGTGACGACAAATTGTAGACGACTTATTGTGACATGTGGTCAGATTTGGGAAAATTTAAGGCATGATCATCCGATAATTGATTGCGTTTTTTTTGATCAGCTGAAAAAGTATATACTGTAATATAGTGAGAATTAAACCGAGAGAGGGGAGTTTAGAATCCATTGGTTTTGATTCTGACATGTGTTGCTGTACTTCTGAAAATTGACCGAACAGTTCACTGTCTTGCGGGTGCCAGCTGCCAGCGTGTCAATCAGTCCCAGACTTCTTACGAAGTAAGAATGGCATGGAATCAATCTTCAGGTTGTGGCGTCACATCCTTTGTACTTCCCTGCGCTAGCCTTGGACAGGAATTGCACATCGATCGGTTTGTCGTGTTCGACTCTTCAGGTTTAGCTGGCCCTTGTTGGGTCCGAAGCTCAAGTCAGTACAGCAACAGCAAGGGAGCGAGTTATTTGATCAAAACACTTCAGCACATTTGGTGTTTGTTGCGTGTTCCCACATTTTCCCACAGGCTGGGAAGAGAAGTGCTGGAAGCCGACTGAGCATAGGCTTGTTGCAAGCTCTTCACCAAAAATATGAGCAGCGGTCAAAAACCTATAGTAAGATTTTTTGAAAGGTGGTATGGAAAATGATTAGGCTTAGGATGTGGATTGTAAGTATTGGTTTAGTAGCGGGCCCCCCAGCAGAATCATGCAAACCACCAAGGCAGCGCTAGATTGGCGCTAGGTTCGCGGTTGATTTTTTACTAGTCTTTTGAAATCAACATGATTCATTTGGTTTGGTTCATGAAATCCTGCGCATCTTGCGGGGGAATGCTGCAACTGACTGACGTAGATTAGGCTGTGTGCTGACATGCTTTTGGGTGTAGTATATCATACTGGGGAAAATACAGAAGTGACCTCTGTGATGTGTGTTGCTGTTACCTCAAGCCGGAAAGAGTTCTGAGTCTTTTGTGCGCTAGATCCGCGCCAGCATTTGCGCTAGGTTTGCGCTAGCACATTTCTCAAATGTGATCAGATTCAGATGTCCATTTGTCCTGGAAGCAGATCTTCGCCATTACTACTTGGAAAGCTTGTGCCCATGTCTCTTTTCCTATCAAATTCTGCACAGCATGGCTAGCTTAGACAACAAAAGGTCATCAATGAGTTAACAAAGGCCTTCGCGCTAGCTACGTTTGCAACATTCTGCACCTCTGATTGAAATACTTCACATTTCCATACATCCCAGATACCCTCTCTGAAATGTATTGAACAAGAAGCGGGCCCCCATCAGAATGACTTTTACAGCCGCTTTCGGGAAAAGACAGGTTGACCACCAATCATAGAATCACATATATATATATATAGAATGGAATCTGGCCTGCAAGTTGGTTTGCCAGGAGCGAATCCTGCGGCAACAAGGAAGTAGGGGACCTCAGTTAGTTTGTGGAAACAGAAGAAAAGCAGGCATATACCTCCCATGGCTGTCAGCCAAAGCCAAGGATTGGCTATTCCCAACTTCATGATGAAGACGAGGCGTTCTCCAAGCAAGGAAACAGTTTATTGCTGTTATAGATCAACAGCCTTGGTCAGGATGAGGGTCCAGTCACCACCGTCCTGGATTTCAGCAACACAGAGGAACGCCTTCAAAAAATCAAGGACCCTGCTCAAAGACCTAGCCTTACAAGCGGATCACGTAGTATGTGTTTGCCTGGATTTGTTGCCTACAGGATGCGACGCGGACGCCAGTGACTCTCCTCAGCGGGTTTCTAGGATCAGGCCATGAACTTGAACATCTTCAAGAAAAACTGCATGCGGGCAAAACATGCTTTTGCTGCACAATGTTTGCAGGCAAGACCTCACTCTTGAAAAATATTTTGGAGAACCAGGAAGGTGTAAGTGGGAAGCTCAGGAGCGAAGTGACAACATAGGAAAACACCCGACACCCAGCCTCATTCTGCTGGCAATTGATAGTATTCACACTCCTATATGGCAGGGTCGGCAGGGTACGAAAATGTACAAGGTGTGCAAAGCATCTCAAACAGATTGCACAACCAGCTAGGACGCTCAGGGCAGGTAGGTGAAAGAAGCTAGATGTCGTTCATGCAAAAATATCCTCTAAAATTGTTTATTTCTTAATGTTTTTTGCAAGGAGAAGGAAGCAGGTATTTATGATGTCTTCCCCCTCCGTTATAGCTTTGAGAGTTCTCTTTGACATGCATGCACTGATGATCACTCATGCTTAGATGTTTGACAGAGATTTCTTGGCTTATGAAAACCACAAAGTGAAGAGTGGTGTGTGTGTGACAGCAAATCAGTCTGAAATCTGAAAGGATCAGGCAAGCAAGGCAAGGTCCATGCAAGGTAGCATGTTTAGTGTAGGGCGTAGCATCCAAGCTGTGCAGAGGGCTGGGAGTCGTGGTCAATGATGTCGCGGCGGTCAACATCGACGCGCAGCTGATTCAAAAGCCCGCTTGGCATGTATATAATGTCGTTGTTCAACGGAAATTAGAGTACAACGTGTCGCACCTGAAATCATTCTCAAAGTTGAATTCGAAAGTGTTTGTCAATTTTACATGTGCAGGTACGAACAAAATGGAACCATTGAAATTGCTGAACTTGCAAATGGCTGTGTGCAGGACTTAGCATAGAAAACATGCAGCTTAGCCTAGCCATCAGGCAATATGGGCACTTGACCAAATGACTCTTTTTCTTGCTCCTTCCAAGAATGATGCTTTTCAGGAGTGGTCAAACGCATCGAGAAAGCTAAAGCTCCTAGTAGCGATGCCAGAAGTAGCTTATTGTTCCTAGTAATTGTTATTCTAGTCTGGGGAATTGGTGACAACAGCTGGTTGGTGAGGTTTGCTGCACTGCTTCCGACGACTTGGTGGCATCAGTACAAGAGCTGGTGAACAGAGCGTACTCAAGGTGTGACGCACAGTGACCTTACTCGTACCTTGATTGATCACAACAATCAAGGCTGAACTATAGAAAAAACAAAGAATGCAGTGACAAGCGAAAAGAACAATAACATATTAAAAGGCCTGAAGACTTGCAAATAACAAGAAGATAAACGCTGTCCAAGTTGTTGTAATTAAACAAATTGATGGTGCATGATGTTGTACGTGTTCCACGGCATCACTGCTGCTTGCGGCGTAAGTTAAAGGCAAGACCTGAAGCTGCAAGTAGTAGCAAAATGTCTCAAGTTTTCTTAGTTGTTGTCCATAAAGCATTATTGTGTTATTGCATACTAGTGTTCCCAGCAATGAAAAGCATTTCCCAGGCCTTTCCACCATGTGGTAATTGAGCTCAGTGGAGTTGGCGAGCCAGATTCTCGGGTCCTTGAGACATTGTAGCCGTGAACAAAATGGAGGGAGAGGAGATTTAAGCCTCAATGGTGTCGCCACATCCTTTGCTTGGTGTCGCCACACTTTGACCACATCCAACGTAATCCAACTTCATAACTTGCTATATCGTCCAATGATGTCCAAGTCCAAGTTGAATGCCATCGATTTCTCAAGGCCAGAAGCTATCAAACGACATTGGGACATCGGAGTAGAAGTAGGCAGGGGAGCACATCTTTGGACAGGCTTTTCCTAGTTGCACATCGTTGACCTCATAGTGCACACCCTTTCTGATAATCGATGGAATTTGCAGGAATGCCTGCAACATTGATGACAGAAATCAAACGCACTATTGCTGTGGTGGATTCGAGCCTCTTTGGCAACGACTGGATCGACAGTCGGAAGGCAGTGCTTTTGAAGTGCTGCTGCCAGCCTGTAGCATTGGTACATGTTGGTCTTGATTTCCCCTGCGTGCCAATAGCGAACACCTTGGATTTCTTTCAGGCGACGGCAAGAAATGAAGAAGGAACAACGCATTCGAGTCAGATCCTGAATCTGGCACGAGAGGGAAGCGTGAATATGAATGCTTG